GGAGCAGGGTGGGCGTGAGTGAGGGATCGCCGCCTCCTGCGGCCCTTCATGTCCTGCACCAAGTCCTGCCCCGGGGCAGCCTGCGGGCCAGCTCGCCCCTGTGCCCAGCACCAGGCGGACTCCCCCTCCCCGGCACTGCGCCTGCTGCTGGGGGTGTCCAGGGGCCCAGCGAGCCCAGGGGTGCAAATGCAGCTAGAAGGGATAAGGGCCGAGGAAGAGCCCAGCCCTTCAGTCCAGGCGTGTCCTCCCGGGGCCAGCTTCCCAGCGCCCCACCTCGCTCACATGCCCTTCGAGCAACCTGCGAGGAATGTGGCCCTTCCTCCGGCAGCAGTGCAGCCCGAGCCCGAGCCTGGCCCCGGGAGCGAGCAGCAAAGATGCCACAACTAGAAAGCCCCAGCGCCTTCCCCCCCGCGCAGCGAGGGAGCACCGAGCGCGGGCTGGCTCCGGCTGCAGGATGCCGGGCCGTCTGGCCAAGCACGGCTCTGCCCCGCCGCCCTCTGCATAAACAGCCGGGGAGGAAAACAAGAGCTGCCTTGAGCATCATCCCCGGCCTCTCGCCTGCCTCCTGCGGCTCCCGTCTGTGCTGATGCAGCCAGGCCCCTCTCCCGAGCCCGGCCGGAGCCGCACTGGGGCATCCCGGGTCTGGACCAAGACGCTGAGCTGGGATACCAGGAACTCGGAGGCTCTGGGCTCTCACTGGTGCCGCAAGATGGGCACGGGAATGGGGGGCTTTGGCATGGGTTGTGCTGTCCCGTGCGGGTTGCGCTGCACAGTGGCGCTGGGCACACGGACACCAAGGCGATGGCCTCTCCTGCCCCCGTGCTACCCAGGGCCAGCTGGAGGAGTCTGCCCTGCGCTGCCTGGGGACGGGGCTGCCTCCCCCGGCCGTGCTGGAGGCGCCGGCTTCGTTTCCTCCCAGCCCTGGGAAGAAGGCCAAGCCATCCAGCCCTTCCCCTTCCCCTGCAACGGAGCCATGCTGAGCCAGCAGCTTTTGGTTGCAAAGTGCGCGGGTCTTCAGCACCCCGCCACAAGGGCTCAGCACCCTGGGGCTTCAGGGCCCGGTCCTGGCCAGCCATGCTCTGGCTTCCCTGTGCCCAGGGGGCAGCCCCATGTCTCGCACAGGTCAGCACGGCCCAGCAGCATCTTCAGGACAGGCACTGGGAGATGCGTACGGGTGTCCCTCCTGCACTATCTATCCCCTGTGACAACCGTGTCCCCCCCACGTTAGACGTCCCCTTAACTGGCCTGCTTGGAACTGGACCGGACAGGTGGGCACCGCTACCCGGAGGAGAAAGGGCGCTTCTTTTGGGGGAGGATGCCAGCAGAGTCTCAGCAAGGCTTAGGCCACCCAGGTTCTCACCCAGAGGCCAGCGGCAGAGGCAGGGAGTAGATGTGACACAGGTGTCTTTCCTCCCAGGACCACCTGCCTGCCTTAGCCACGTCCACACACAGACCTGTGCCCACACCGGCACGTATCCCCCAGCCCCTGCACGCCCAGAGCTGCCCGCTGCCCCCACGCCTCGGTGCGGAGGCATTTGCAAACAGTCTGGCCTATCCCCGCACCAGTGCCCTGAAAGGATGCAGAACAGCGTCCCTGCCCTAGGCCTCCATCCTCTTGGGTGACAACATCTGCCATAAAACCCCGTTATTTCATGCCCCACAAGCCGGCTGCGAGTCCCATTAACGGCCTCTTTGTGCAGCCCCGAGCACCATCGCGGGCAAACAGGGGAGGGCCCAATTCGCAGGCATTTCAACATCCCATCCCGTGCTGCTAAATATCTGGCCCCGGGCCTCCGCCTTGACCGCAGCAGGGATGTTAAATAAGGATCCTCTTAATGGAAACACCATGCTGTTTACCCCAGAAGCTCGCCTGCTTCGTGTCGGCGCCAATCCTAGGCAGAGCGAGCCCTCCACACCCTCTTTCTTTGCAGATGTTCTCTTAATAGTGCCGCGTCCAGAGGGATGCTCGTATTAATGCGAGATGGCATTAGGCAAAAAATCCCGTGTTTGCTTTTAACTGGTTTTCAAGGACCCGCCGCTGTAAATCACGGCCAAGATTTAGGCACTAAATAATAATAACAACGTTGAGAGAGCACACAATGACGACAAGCCATCAGCTCTGCTCAAAGGGCGGCTCTTTTTTTCTTTGGTTTTTAAACTTTCCAGATGTCGCAAAGCTCACTCAAAACCTGAAACTCCCTAAATACGGTTTTCTTTTTTTTAATTATGATTATTATTATTTTGCAGCCATGATGAACTTTATTGCATGCGATGGGAGAATAAAAATAACAGTCATAAAAGTGCTCGCGGAGTTATTTTAGGAAGTCTTAAAAAGGTTTTACGGCTCCTGGTGCTCCTGCCAGGTGATAACACAGCGTCTTGTTGAATCGAGGCCACACGCACGGTGCTGGCTGCAGGCATGAACCCCACCGGAGCTGTTTTAAGCAACCAGTTATTATTACTTATTATTCTTCTTCTAAGAGAAGAGTGTGGTCTAGCCCTTACGAACGGCGAGAGCGAGAGCCAGGGCTCCCAGGCTGGCCCGCATGAGCGGGTTGCTGTGTTTCACGTGGCCTGAATAATCGCGTTAGGTTTCTGGAGGGCAACGAAGCTTTTCAGCCGGAGGGACAGCCGGGCGGGCAGCAATACTACTTCTGGCAGCTGCAAAGGAGACCTGAGGCAGCCCCGGGAGTGTGAGTCCAACCCGGGCTCTTTTCTCTCAGCAGGGCATTGACTCTGGAACCTAATGGTGGCAGCATCCCTTTCAAGAGGGCGCCCTGCTCTGCCACCGCTCCTCAGAGCAGCTGCCAGCTCCTGCGAGGTGCTGCCAGGGCACAGCTTGCCCAGTGCTACGGGCATCCCTGGCCCTGCTTGACCCTCGACTCCCCAGCGCTTTTCCTTCTGGCCCGCATCCCTACAAGCCTCCTCGCTCTTCTCGGCCTCTCTTGCTGCTGCACCTTGCCTGGGAAGTGTCTTGCAGCAGTGAGTTCCCAGGAGGAGCGACTTATGGATGAGCTGTGCAGCAGAGGTGGGTGCTGGGGGCACTGCTGCCACCCCCCCGGAGTGCGCTGGGGTGGGGCTGAGCGCAGGCGGGCTGCAGGCTGGGCACAACTCTGCCTCAACTTCGGTTCCTCCCCTGCCTCAACTTGCCCGAGCCAAGCCTGGCCCTCGCAGCCCCTAGCCCCGGCTGGGCCACATCCCCTTGGGGGTCAGGATGGGGCAACTCTGTGCAGCGACAAAACTCCAGTTCCCAACACCCAGCTGCACCCCCCTGCCCCAGGCGGCGAGCAGGCCCCACGCTCCCTTCATCCCTGCCCAATTCTTCCCTGCGTTCAGAAACCGGAGCCATCGGCCCCATCCAGCGCCTTGGAAGGGATCGGTGGTGCTGGCGCCCCCCTCCCACCTCCTCGGTCGCCTGGGGAGGAGAGGGGAGGAAAGAAAGGGGGGCAAAACCCAGGGCCTGTAGCATGTCTTGGAAAGGGCGAGGACTTGGATTTCACCGGGAGCCGGGCCTGCCAGCCCAGGCAGGAATGTCTGCGTTTTATAGCCAATTAAAGCTGGGTTTACGACCCGAGCGCCGGCCTCGCGGGGAGCCAGAGCTGGCGGCCGAGGGCTGTGATTGATGGCAGTGCAGGGCTCGGGCACATTCTCCGTGGGGCGACTGACTTTCCTCCCTGCCAGCTTCCCCCGCCCCTGCCCCCTAGAAAGTTTCCTCCCGGACGCCAGCTGGGAAATGCTTTTCCCTGGCGTGTGGCACTTGCTGCCTTTGGTTTACGAGGGGCGGGCAATGGGAGTCTTTCCAGCCAGCTGGTGTCTGCCACTGCCTCACCACGCGGCCTTGGCCAACTCACTTCATCCCTGTCCATGCAAGAGGCACAGCAGCCAGGGGGCTGGGGAGCGAGGTGGCTCCGTCTCCTTGGCTCCCTGCTGGGGCTGCCAGTGATGCCCAGCCCCCGGGCACAACTCGCAGAGGCTTTGGAAAAGCCCAGAGCAACTTGGGCTCCTAAAGCCCTGTGGCAAATTGGCCCTGTCGGCGCCTCTGGAGGTTTTACCCTCAGCCAGACAGAAGCTGGGGCTGGAATCGTGCCCGGGGGAAACCCAAGAGGTGGGGACATGGCAGGGGGGAGGGGGCGGCAGCGGGGGCAGGGCTGGG